GGCGGAGCAGCAGGCCGCTTGGAGAGCGACGGTGGCGAAACCCGAGACTGTCATTTCCAAGCAGCGTTTGAGTGGGACGAGGGTGGTGCCAGGCCCTCCTCCCAGCCTCATTCGGGGCTGCTGCTCCCGCAGCTCTGGGAAGGGCGGCCCAGAGACGCCCTCGACCCACCCTGCCGTCTGGCCCGGCCCCAGCCCACAGCTTGCCTCTCCCCACACCGTGTGGGCCCTTTCTGACAGCAGGCTTCCGGGAAGGCTCACCCCGAGTTGCCAGGCTGGCGAGCAGCAATGCCCAGGGGCGTGGCGGCACCAGCCCGGGACACGGGGCAGCGCCCACAAGCAGGCCCAGAGGGGCAAGGAAGGCGACGGCCACAAGGCGTGGGCCGCTGCGTCCGCGAGGCCGCGGCTGCTTTCTGTCTGGACTCCAGTTCCCATAATTCTCCCGCACTGGCTGCGGCACCTGCCCTGCCCTCGCATGGACTGCTCTGCCAGGCCAAGAGGAAGGGACGCTCAGCTCCCAGCCCCCAGGCAAGGCGCACGATACCCATGGAGACCCCCAGGAGCTGCACCGAGGTTTGGCCGTCCCTCGCAGCGCCCCTTGCTCGCCGCCAACCCGCACTGTGCCGGCTCAAGTCAGCGTGGACGCCGGAGCGACACGGCCGGAAGGAGGGTAGTCGGGGAGGAGGCCCCGGGGTGCAGCGCTGCCCCTGGCCCCCCACTCTGTGGGCCAGGTGTCCCCAGTGCGGCTGTGCCACTGGTGGCCCGGGCAGTGTGACGGTGCCCCCCCCCCCGGCAGTGCAGGCGGGGCTGGTGGGGAGGCAGGAATGCTGTGGGCAGAGACTCTGATGTGCTGCCAGCCGCCCCGCCTGGGTTTTTTTAGCCGGAGCAGGAGGGGCGCGTGAGCAGCCGTCTCTGCTCCGCCGCAGCATCTTGGGAGCAGATGCCTCCTATGGCCACAAGGATCCCGGCGCTCCAGCAGCGCCCGAGACACCCCCGGCTGTGGCAGACGCGCCTTGCTGCACCGCTTGCCCCCACGGCCGAGGGCCTCGCTGAGTTCAGAGCAGCCCTGGGGACCGGCCCCCATCCCCTGGGCGCAGCAGCCTGACACTGGCCCCCAAGGCTTCCGGGCTGGGGCAAAGGGCAACTCGGGGACTGCGCCCCGGCAGAAGGGAAGGGGAGAGGCCCCGTCGTCCCATGCCCTCTGCCCAGCCTCTGCCACAGGGAGCGCGGCCGTGCCCCCTCTCGGGTCGAACCAGGCCCTCCGGCACAGCTAGTTGGGAGGATCCGAGCGGCCACCCGGAGCAGCAGGGGGATGCAGTGCGTGAAGGCAGGCGGGGTGGCCGCTGCACCCTCCCCGGCCCATCCTGATGCGAGGGCACGTCTCCGGGGGCTCCACCCGCCACCTTGGCTCTTGCGGCCAGGCTGCATCCGTGCGCAAGTCTGTCCCAGCTCTGCCTGGAGCAGACGCCCTGCCTGCAGACTTGCTCGCAAAGCAGCAGCCCGCCTACCCGCCCACCAGCCCCTCCTGGGCTGTCTCTTTTCCACTGGATTCATCCAGAATAACAAAGTGCTTGTTATTCCAAAGGAGGCTCCCCCTTAATCCAGCTTACTGGCAACTGGAGAGGCCAAGGTGATCTTGGCAGCTCGCAGGCGTGCGCGGGAGACTGGCCTCCCCCTTCCCGGCCCGGCCGCTCCTCCTCACTGCTCCAGGGAGCTCCTGGCAGGGCTCTCGCCACCTCTGCCGGTGGCCGAGACAGGAGCCCCGGGAAGGCACGGCGGAGGAGGGGCAGAGTGCGCCCCTCGCTGGCTGCGCTGGAGGGGCGGTGGGGCACACTGGGGTCCGGCCGGTCGCGCTGAGCTCATCCGGAAGGAACGGGCCTCCCAGCCAGCGGCTGCGCTGGCTCCAGCCCGGCCCGTGCGCGCGACCCTCCCCGGTCTGTCCTTCCGCGCTCCAGCGGGCTGGCAAGCCCGGCCGGTCAGCCCCCTCCAATTAGCGAGCTCCGCGCCTCGTCCGGCCAAAACCCTCGAACTAATTAGCTGCCCCAAGACGCTGACGAAGCAGCCCCGGCGACTCCGCGCTTGCTTGCACGCCCCGGGCCTGTGGGGGTGAACGAGCGGGCAGTGCCCCCCCCCGAGGCACAGGAGGGAGGTGGGCGGCTGCACCCACGGCTCTGTCCGGAGGGGCTCCCAGGCCCCTGCAGCACCTAGAGCAGGCCTGGACGCCTTGCGTGGGGGGGGGGTGTTTGCAGCTGCTAGACCGAGGCACGGCGTGGGGGGAGCAGAAAGAGGGCGGGTTTCTCCCTTTGCCCAGTGGCCAGGAGGCGATCCGGGCAGGTAAGGGGGAGCCACGCTTCCCAGCCCGCCTTCGGGTGGATGAGGAGCCGGAGAAGCCCAGCGGGGCTGGCCTGGCAGCAGCAGGCTGCATTTTCACTGTTTCAAGTCCCTTTTGTTCTAAAATCCCGTTTCCCTTTTTCTCAGACTTGAGAGAAAGATTTGTGTGTCTTACGGTTGTTGAGCCTGCCGAAAAGGCCGGCCGGGATGGTGCTGCCGCCGGCAGCTCCCCCCTGAGGCGCGCGCCTGCATCTGGGACCGCTTAGCTGCGAGACAAGCCGGGCTGGGAGCTCAATCAGGGCTGGGTGGAGAGAGGGGCCGGGGGCGGCCTCCCCTCCCCTCCCCTCCCACACACGGGCCCTTGTGGGGCGCTCCCGGGGCTGCACACGGGGTGCACGGTGGACGCAAGGGGGCTCCTCCACACACTCCGAGCTGAGCGGCGGAATCCTCTTTCAGAAAGGGATTGGGGGGTCCATTCGGGCCACTGGTCCTGGGGGCTCCCTGCCACCCCACTTGGGGGCAGTGGCCTGCAAGCACCAGCTCCGGCAGGAGGCCCGTGGCCCTCCCGTCCCGCTTGTGGGATCCCCTGGCACGTTGGGCTGGCCCAGCACTGGGCCTCTCCGTTCGCTGCCCCATCTGACAAAAGCTCAGCCGGCCCTTCTCGTCTCGGCTTTAAGGAGAAGCCGCGCCTTGTGCACTGGTTTCTGATCTCTCTGCAATCCAGCAGCCATCAGCCCCGCCGGCTCAGCAGAGCCTCTCTGTTCAGAGGCACTCTATCTCCCGAGGGACGGCTTCGGGGAGCACAGCCCGGTGCTTGTGGGCTGAGTTCAGAGCAGCAGAAATAGGGGCAGATCCGCCCCACCAGCTCCTCCGTGTTCATGGAGGAGGTGAAGGAAGCGGAGGCCCCCCGGCCGCCGAGTGAGGGACCTGCAGCCCCCAGGAAGGAGGGCCGCCCCCCAGTCCTAACGGCTCGCAGGATGCCTGGGAGGAACCAGATCCCTGACGTTGCCACGGTGGGGGCAGCCTCACTGACCTCCTCCCGGAGATACACAGCAGGCCCTTCCGAGGACACCCCCACAGCCGGCTCCCATCACCTGCCGTGCTCCGGGACGCCCAGTGCCCAAGCAGAGGCTGCGGGACTGCAAACGGCTCAAGGGGGCAGGAGGACCCCAAAGGACGGCGGGACAGACAGACCCCTGCCCTGCTGAACCACCGCCTCGTCTGGCCCAAACCGGCACCGATCCACTGCACGTGGTGGGAGGAATCGGGGCATGAAGAGGGGGGCGTGCCATTCCTGCCTGCCTGTCCGTCTCTTTGCACACTTCCTGCCCGCCTGTCCGCCTGTGGGGAGGGGCTCTCCCCCCGCCTGGCCCTCCATGCCTGCCTCCAGCTGCACATTCCAGACTTTATTACCTGTCTGTGTGATGCCAGCTTTGGGGGTCTTTGTAGCCCCCTGTGCAATCCCCCTTTGCTGTTAACTAGCTCACTTATTAAAAGCGCTGACAGACGAGCCAAAGCAGGAGCTCCCCCCCCATTTCATTATGCTCTGGGGCAGAGGGGGCAGACCCCTCTATACTTAAAGCGTCCCCCCTTCCCCCAGGAGTCCAGCAGCCTCCCCGTCCTCTCGGCACTGATGCTGGAGCTGGTGTGTGGCGTGCTGAGCCACTGGGTCCCGCCAGCCCCCTGTCCGCATGGGGCACATGGCAGGCGCAGGGGCGTGCGGGCCCCCTGCTGCGAGAGCCCCCCCTGCCCTCCCCTCCAGAACGGCCAGCAGAGCTGATGGCCCACAAGCCTTTCTGGCTGGAGGCCCGTCTGCACCTCGCAGATGCCCCCTCAGAACCGAAGCCCCACCCGGCGCCGGGGATGCTTGAGGTCACCCACCGGGAAGCACTGCGCGGCTTCGGTGCCTTGGGCTTGCCTGCCCCAACGTCCCCTCCAGGCACAGAGACCTCCAGGGAGCAAGCGATCCCCAGGAGGAGGGCTGCAGACGAGGGGTGCCGGCGCTCTGCCCGCCTCGTGGGGGACGGGAGCGCAGCACAGCCGAGCCGGCCTCGAGGACTGCTCAGGGAGGACAGTGGCCACCAGCCGCGTCAGCCACGTGCCGACCCCACCGGCAGAGGCCACCCCCCGCTCTGGGCCACCTGGCCAGCCACTCCGAGATGCCCTTGGCTGAGCCAGCCTCATGGCACTGCCTACGAGTCTGAAGTACAAAGGTTCGTGACTCTGCCGAGCCGGGAAAGCCGAGCAGGCAAGCAAACCGGTCCGCCCTGTGGACGGCTCGCCACTCCTCCGTGAAGTGTGCTGATGAAACGGGCGGCGGGCGGCTCCCAAGCACTGCAAGGCCAGAAAGTGACGCAGAGCGAACTCAGACGGGGGCAAGAACCGTGCAATGCAGTCCGGCCCAGCTGCCTGCCTTCCTGCCGGGGACCGAAGGAGCGCCCTTTGGGAGACGGCGGCTGGACACGGCAGGCAAGGAGAACAGGCTGCCTGCCCGGGCCTCGCAAGGCTCAGGCCCTCGGAGGGATGTGGCTGCTGCCCAGCGTGTTCCCATGTATTCTGGGGGAAGGATGCGGCGTGGGGCGCATCTCCCTTTGTGCAGGTTTGGCGGCCGGCTGGGTGCATGCTCGGATTCTCCAAATTCATGGGCAGGTGGGCATGGGAGATGCACGAAGATGCCACAGCCTGAGCCCAGTTCTTCCCCTCAGAGTGGTGCCACAGACCCCAGACCGTAAGGGCCATTCTGCAACCCACCAGCCACTTTCCTCCCCGCTTTTCACAGCAAGCAAACTGTCCGGCTTGCAGCCACCTCAGGGGAGACATGGCAAGCCGTCACCGACGCTGACCAGCCCCAACAGCCAGGGGGAGACACCGGCAAAGGGGGGGCTGAATGCAGGCTGCACGCGTACGGCTCAGTGGCCTGTCGCAATGCCACAGGAATGAATGGCCAGGTGCCTGGGCGCCCCGCTGGACACAGAAGGGCCGTAGCCACGGCCTGGTGGTGCCACGTCTTTCACATACAGATGGTATGCCCGGTTACGAGGGGCCAAGAAAGGCCCCCACCGAAACGCTGGCGAGCAGCCAGCCAGCCATGCCAAGAGCGCATTGACTACAAAGCAGGAGGTCAAACGGGCCGTAAGAAGCAGACCGAGGTCCCAAATTCCGCTCCCACGGTGGCCAACCAGATGTCCCGGTGGGAAGCCCACGCACGTGCTCGGGCGGCTGGTATCCGCCCGCCCTGGATCAGGGGCAGTGTGTGCAGGGAACAGGGCCACGGAGGGCCCTCTCTTCTGTGGAGCTGGGCACCTTCTCCGGTGTGGGCACTGCCCCCCCCGAAGAACAAGCGCCTGGGCTGCTTTCCCACGGAGGCTGAACGGGAACGTCGCAGGCAGGGTGGCTTTCCTCCAGCGGCCGGGGACAACTCAGGCCCAGGCCCAGCTCCAGCTCCGGCTCGTGGGCCCCCAAAAGCACGGGGCTCTGTCTCGGTGAAGGGCTGGCTTCCCCAGATGCTCCTTCTGGGCTTCCCCACAGCAGCCGCCGGGGACCCCAGGCTGAGCCACAGGCCCGAGCACTCCAGGGCGAAGGGCCCTCCCGCCAAGCGACGCCTGCTGGAAGCCCGTCCTTTCCCGCCGTGGCATATCCGTGGGGGGGGCTGCCCAAGGGGGGCAACGACGCGCGCATCGGCAGCTGCAGCAGGACAGCCTGCCCGCCTCCCCGAGCGAGCCTTGGGGTGCCCCCGCCCCGGCCGAGGTGCTGGCTCTGTGGGAGGGCCGGACGTGGTGCAGGAGCAGGCACGGGGGTGGGGGGCACGCAGGATCCAGCCCCCCGAGGGGCCCGGGGCACTCTTCGTGAGCAGGTGCGGCGATCCTCCGCTAGGGCAAACCGTGGGCCTTCCCGAAGCGCCTCACCCCCCGGCCTTCCTCCCGCAGGAGCCTCGCCATAGGCCGGCCGCTGCTCTGGGCGCTGCTGCTGCTCCTCCCGGCCGGGATCTTCGCCCGCGGCTGCCCGGCCGACTGCCAGTGCAACCAGCCCCAGACGGTCTTCTGCATCGGCCGCAGGATCCACGCCATCCCGCCGGGGCTGCCGCAGGACACGACCAGCCTGTACATGTTTGAGAATGGCATCCGCTCCCTGAGCAGGGACAGCTTCCTGGGGCTGCCGGCCCTCCAGCTCCTGGACCTCTCCCAGAACCTGCTCTCCAGCCTTCCGCAGAACGTCTTCCAGCCGCTGACGGGCATCTACAACCTCGACCTGTCCTCCAACCAGCTGCGCGAGATCAGCAACGAGAGCTTCCACGGGCTGCGCTGGCTGGAACGCCTCTACCTGGACCACAACAGGCTCGAGTTCATCCACCCGGCGGCCTTTGACACGCTGGAGCACCTGCTGGAGCTGAAGCTGCAGGACAACCGGCTGCAGGCCATGCCGCCCCTCCGCCTGCCCACGCTCCTGCTGCTCGACATCAGCCGCAACGGGATCGCCGCCCTCGAGCCGGCCGCCTTCCACGTCCGCAACCTGGAATCGCTGAAGATCGCTGGGCTGGGCCTCAGGAGCCTGCCGGAGCAGCTCCTGCAGGACCTCCAGAACCTGCACGAGCTGGACCTTTCAGACAACCTCCTGGCCGCGGTGCCGGGCGCACTCAAGCGGCTGCACGGCCTGACCAAGCTGAGCCTGGCGGGGAACGCCCAGATCGCCCAGCTCCACCTCGAGGACTTCCGTGAGCTCCGCAGCCTGCAGGAGCTGGACATCAGCAACCTCAACCTCAACGGCCTCCCCCGGGATTTCTTCAGCGCCTTTCCCAGGCTGCGAGGCGTCACAGCGGCCGAGAACCCCTTCAACTGCGTCTGCCAGATGAGCTGGTTCATCAGCTGGGCGAGCTCCAGCGGGGCCTCCCTGCGCCGCCCCGAGGAGACCCGGTGCCACTTCCCCCCCCAAGAACGCAGGCCGGCTGCTCCAGGCCCTGGAGTACGTGGACTTTGGGTGCCCCACCACCACCACCACCACGCGGCCCACCACCACCCTGAAGGCCACCAGCCCCAAGCTGCCCCCCGCCCTCCCGAGCGTTGGGCGGGTCCCCGTGGAGCCTGGCACCGGCGGCACCACCCCCGGGGCCAGCAGCCCCCCGCCGACGCCGGACACCGCCCTGCACGACCAGCCGAGCCCAGAGGGGGGGCACCTGTGCCCCCCGCACACCTGCCTCAACGGGGGCGCCTGCCGGCTGGACCCCCTCAACCATGTGGAATGCGTCTGCCCGGGGGGCTTCACGGGCCCATACTGCGAGACCGGGGCGCAGGCGACCACCCCGCCGGCGGCCCCCACCCTGGCCCCCACCCGGCCCGCGGGCATCACCATCCAGCACGTGGGCACCACCTCTCTCCGCGTGGGCCTGCAGAACTACATCCGGGCCCGGACGCAGCTGAAGGGCCTCCGCCTGACGTACCGCAACCTCTCCGGGCCGGACAAGCGCCCCGTCACCCTCAGCCTGCCCGCCTCGCTGCCCGACTACACCGTGCGAGCCCTGAAGCCCAACTGCTCCTACCACCTCTGCGTCGGGCCGCTGGGGGGCCAGCCCCACAGCGAGGACCAGTGCGTGGAGGCACGCACCCTGCCGCTCACCCACCAGCAGCACGCGCCCGTCACGCAGGGCAAGGACGCCGGCCTGACGCTGGCCCTGGTGCCCGCCCTGGCCGCCGTCCTGCTGCTGGTGGCCGCCGCCGCGGCCCTCTCCTACTTTGTGAGGCAGAGGCGGCGGCGGCGGGGGCAGAAGGCCCCCACGGCCCCGGGGGCCAGCGGCGTGGGCCCCCTGGAGCTGGAGGGGGTCAAGGCCGGTCTGGAGAAGGCGGAGCCGACCGGCCCCGGGCACAAGGCAGGGGCTGCGCCCAACGGCCTGGAATACGAGGTGCCCCTCATGCCGCCACCGCCACAGGCAAGCTCCGCCGCCACGCCACGGACCCCAGGGCCGTCCTACTTCTAGGCCAGGCAGGGGCCCCGATCCAGAGGCTGGTTCCCGGGCTTAGCACTGAGGAAAGCCCTCCAGGGACACGCACGTAGGGCCTCTCTGGCAGGCAGCTGCCACGGGACTGAGCGCCCGCTTAGCGTGGCTGCCACAGGGGCCAATCCAGCAGCTGCTACCGAGGGAAGCATCTCCGCTGGGCCCTGAGGAACACCTGTGCAGGCCGCCGGGCCCATGGTGGCCACGTGCACATTATGAAGGACAGACCAGGAACCTCCCGTCGGCGAGAGGCCGGGAGCCCGGGGGCACAGGGGATGGGGGAAACAGCTGCCTGGACACGCTCATAGGAAGCAAAGCTCTCGGACGTGCTCGAGAATATTTATAATACAGGACTATTTCCCATTTCTTCTGGGAAATCTCTTTTCTAACAACGAATGCCGTACTTTTTGTAAAAAGACTATACATGTTTTTGTACAAAAATAAAGAGCGTTTGTACAGCGTGCAGGCGAGTGACCAAGGCAGGGTGGGGTGGAAACGGGGGCCATCGTGGGCTCTGGCTGGAGACCCCACAGTGGCAGGGGGGCCCCCCGGAGGCAGGGCGGGGGGCGTCTGGGGGAGAAGGAAACCGCTGGCTGTGTGTAGCCCCCATTCCTCATGCCACGCCCCAGTTCACGTTCTGGGCTCAAGTTTATTCGTAAGAAGTCCCACTGCCTTGTCCTCCTAGGACAGTGTCACGAAGCGCCTCGTCTCAGGCAGCCCCGGACTTCTGCTCCGCGCGCCCCTGGACGAGACGCGGCAGAAGCCCCGCCGGGGCACGCAGCGCCCAAGGGAGGCCGTGGCAGCAGGCGGGCCCTGCTGGGGATGCGGGCCGATCAGTGGCACCAGCGGCAGGCGATTTCCGCCAGCCTGGCGAGAGAGGCGTCTTCCCATTGAGCCTCCGGGCACTTGGCCAGGGCACCCCCGGGCTGGCGGGGAGCGCGGTGTTTTGGGGTGGGGCAGAGCAGCCTCTCCAGCGCCTCCGTCTGGACGCCACGGGTGAGGGCGGCAGCAAAGGGAGCGTGCTGCCAGGAGCCACCCCCGGACTCGCCTTTCGCAGGACACAGGTCCACAAATGGGGGGGCACCCCCGGCCTGGATGTTGGGGCTCCCTGGGGCGGGCCAGGCTCTGCTGCACGGAGGTGCCCCACTTCCCTGCTCAGGGAGCGCATCCCGAAGGGACATGCGCCCTCCCGCACGCCCCCCCCCCCCAGAGGCTGAACGGAGCGGAAGCCCACTTCCCAGAGCCAGCAGCAGGGGGTCCCGATCCTGGCACGCAGCGGAGGCAGCCGCCCGGCCACCCTCCAGGAGGGCCCTCACCAGATCGGTGCCGGGTCTGCTCCGATCCCGCCGACTCACGCGCCAGGCAGAGCCACCTCGGGCTGCGCGCGCAAGGGAAGCCGGTTCTGCCGCAGAACAGCCACAGGCCACTCCGCTTTGCACAGTGCACTCGGCTCTGCGGCCGTCGGGAAGGGGGCAGGCGCTGAAGCCGATGGGCACAGGGAGGGGCGCCACCCCGCACCTCCGGGACCTGCCAGCAGCACGGCCCGAGCTGGTGCCGCAGGGCAACGTCGCCCGCTGGCAGGCAGGCAAGTGACCCCACAACTGCCAGTGGGGGGAGAGCCTGGGGGACGGCGCCAGCAGCCGCAGGGCAGGGCAGGGCAGGGCAGGGCCGGCCACGGCCGGGGCGAGCTGGCTGCACTCTTCGGCTGGCTGGGCCCTCCGTGGCAAATGGCCACCTGGGCGGGAGGGGCTGTGGCACAGCACAGCGCAGCCCCGGAAGGCCTGGCCGGGCACAGGCGGGTGCCAGCCGAGACCCCGTGCCCCGGCACAGCCCCAACAGTCCCCTCCCCTGAGGCAAAGTCGCCCCCTCGAGCTGCTTTCTGCTCCCCCCCCCTCGGCCCACCATGGGGTGGCTTGCCGGAGGGCGAGGCGCCTCCCGCTCAAGCCAGACGAGTGCATCTTCGGACAGCCTCGCAGAGCAGCCCCGAAGAGCCCAGGAGCGCTTCTGGTGGATCGGGCCCGTCGGGGCCCACCGCCTCTTGTGCAGGGGTCCTGCCCGTCCAGAGCCCAGGCAAGGGGGCGCCCCACAGGCCCCTCCGCCCGAATCGGGCTCGTCGTCCCGGCTGTGGCTCCCGGTCCTCCAGCTGGAGGGCCACCTCGCCGAGCAGGCAGGTGCCCGCGGAGGGTCCGGAGCGAGTGGGCATCCTGCCGGGAGCGCGGAGGGCCGACACTGCTCCTTGCCGCTCGCACTGACCCACTGAAAGGCCCTCCTTGTCAACCGCCAGCAGATTTTTCGAATTAACTTTCCAAATTCCTGTGAAAAGTGCTGCTGAGCAAATATTTTCCTTATGAGCCACGTGGATTTTCCAACCGCACCAGCGAGGGAGATGAAAGCGCTGCCATTTCCAGGCGGGGGGGGG